GATTATGCAGACTGAACAAAATAATCAAAACCTGAACACAAACTGACTCTGGTTTCTTTAAATAATGACCAATCTCTTACTGCGCCAACTATAAGCGGTGGTTTTAGAGCTTCCTCCTTACAGACAGGAAGTTGTAATTGTTACTAAATCTTTTAACAATGTCATAGGAAGTCCTTTGAGCTAGTGAAGGGCTTTTCTGCCTCTGCTGATCACGTATCCTCTGAGAAAGACCTTCTAAAGCATTGCAAACTGACACCTGACCATTACTAATTGAAGGAAAGTATGGGTTTGGAACAGCGAAGCTGACATCTGTCACACTAAACAGAGCTTGCTCTACATCTATAGGCACACGTGAGGGTGTTAGGGTGATGAATGTCCTTGGCAGACTTTTCAGTGCCAATATGACTGGAACAGCTGGCACATCTTCAATGAAACCCATCGTGTTCACCTAGCTTAACACTAAGCAGGAGTGAGGCAGAGGGGCCGGAGATAGTAAACCAACCTGTGAGCGCCATGCCCTTTGTAATTCACCCTGAGAATAGACAGTGGATGGCAGCGCTGGCAGAAAAAGAAGGTTTCCACTTCCTCCATAAAGTACCTGAGCACCCGCAGCCCTGCTGTCCGTGTCCAATCACAGCACACGTGTGTTTAGATTTGTCATGCTGATGTGCCCCGAACACAGAAACTGATATGCTCCCCTGACAATGAAGCGCGTGCCTTTTCTGCTTCATTGTGGTCTGGAATTATTATCGTCCCTGGAAATATTTACCCGTAACATGTTTATGTTTTCAAACGGAAGAAAAATGTCGGCTAGATGATGTTTGATAATTCTAAGTCATCCATTTTTAACATAACACATTTGTTGTCAGCAAATATTTGTTCCAGAAAAACAAAGTGGCGTTGCCTTTAGTTTATTCGTATCATTTGTCTTTCCTTTTCCTTTTAGACCTCATCTTGCCCTAGAATACAGCGGTAAGGTATGTAAAATCAGATATTTGAACCAATAGAATATTATAACTCTTCTGTAAGCTTTAAAATAATACATCTCTGCTTCTTTCAGGCTACAAAGATTCACCAGAGGGCCTTTGGAAATGACCATCCAATTACAGCTAGAAGCCTTGAGCTCATGGCAACCGTATATGCTGAAATTGGCAAGACTGAATATTCAGGTAAAGGATAGTTGAATAATACAGACTAAACACTTATGACACAGGGATTTACTGTACACACATAAAAATACAGTGAAAACAAACATGGGTGTATGATCAGAGAGTAGTATATAGAATAAGGGTGGAGACCTCCGTGTCTTATGATGTTAATCCCTGTTGTAGAGCGCACGCAACGCAGTCTCATGCCATGAAATGTTAAATTAATTCACATTTGTGGTCATGTTGGACACAGGAACGTGCAGAGTGACAGTTTAAGGTTGTGGATTTGTTGCACAGTGTGCATGCTTGGCTTACCTGACTCTGAACTGTGCATTTTGTTAAGACGTAGAAACAGTTTAGTGTTGAGTCAGCTTACAGAGACACCCGTGCAGAACAAGAGCAGCTGCACCAAGACATGAATATAGACCATTAAAAAGGGGAGAAATGCTTGTTGTTCACCTCAGTTTGTCTTAAAATGTTTGGTGAAACGCTGGAAAAATTAAGGCTCTGTGCATTGTTTTGTTTCATTTTGCACTGAGCAGAAAGGGCTCCTTTTTGGCCTGCACCATGATGGCAGGTTTAAGTGTTTACACCCCATGTCCCTCACATACCCTTGACCATTAAGTAGGTCAGTCAGCCCCTCCCTCTGCTAGAACATTGCCTGCATGTATTTTCGAGCTGATGTAGACTTAACTGTAGTATGTGATATGTTGAAATTATAATTGCATATGTGTCCCAAAATATCTGAGCCTTCACTTCATTTCAAGTCATCTTTGATTCAAGTCTGCACCTATTAAAAAGCCAAAGTTCTCCCCAGAAGTAAACATATGGACTAAATAACTGACCTAAGATATTATTGTAACCAACATGTTTTTATTAATAACTGAAGTCACCTGAGAGAGAATTTATCCAGCAATGCTGACACATACACAACAGTAGGCAACTTTAAGGCAATGTGTGTGTAGTCTGTAGTGGCTAATTTTTATTTCTATTTATTTCTATTTATTTATTGATAGCTTTTTCGCACAGTGAGCACTGTGCAGTTGTGCTGAACTCCCACAGCTGCACTGTACCCGGTGCAGACAGAGTTAACACACTTCCGTCTTGCCTCCTGTACATTTGCATGTTGAGCTTGAGCTCTGCTCTGTCTTGACTGGAGACGCCGATGTTAAGCTGCTCGTCTCATGTTCTGTATGGTCATGGTTCTCTTCCTAGACTCTCTGGGTCAGTGTGTGTCTGCACTGTCCAAACGTTTCGCTGCTGCAGAGTCTCTCAGAGACTCGGTCAGCTGTCTTCCTCATTCCCACCGGGAAAAACACTCAGAGGTACGCCACAGAAAGGATACCCACCACCATCAGGAAGACACACTTAAACCTAAGGTAGGTAAAACACCTGAGGGTATCTGGTTGGTGTTATTCTGATTTATTTCTGTGTTATATGAGGCAGCTTCTTTGGAATAGATCTGTTCCAGCTGTTTGCTGCTGGCCTTTAATGCAATAAATGTGCTCAATGTGAATTTTATCTAATGTAGTTAACCAACAGCAAAGTCCCCACCTCCATCCTAAAGAAGCCAAGTTCCAACTACGGACTAGACACAGAACTCAACCACAAACGTAAAGGCGAGCGCAGAGTTCGATTCAGGGAGCCTGAGACCACAGTGCACGGTGAGAAAGCATGCACGCGAACAATTTGTAATGAGTCCATCCTGCTCGGTTTTAGGCTGCAAGATGTGTTTGCACAGAGAACATGTTGCCCTCTGGTGCTTTTCATTGGTATTTTTATTCTTAAAAATGTGTTGCTATCCCAGCTTAGATAGGAAACCTCAGCCCAAAGCTGCACATGCCTTACAATTTACATTAAAGAGGAAACCCAGCTGGTATTAAAACACCCAGAAATTGCATCATAAACTACTGTCATTTGGGGGTTCTGTGCTACTTAAAATAACGTAATGCCAAGAGGCATCCACACATGAGCAAGAGATTTATTCTTTTTAATGAATTATGCATGCAAATGAAGTACTGTGGAGTCTGTTCAAGAGAGACAGTGGCGACCGAAAGGGTACAGCAGCTGGTTTGTAGCTGCTGCACATCATGAGGTCAGCTTTCAGTGACTGACTGACCTCTTTTCTTTTGGCTTTGCAGACATTCCTTATTGTGACTGTTTAGGTGGTAAGTCTGTCTGAAAAATAACTTTACTAATGAGCACACGAGAGTTTCAAAAGTGCACTCATAAAGAGGAAAGAGCCTGTCAGGCTTGTAGCAGCATTAGCATTAGAATTGTTAGGACTCCGCGTGGCACACATGCTATGGGGAGTTTAGCACGCCACTGTCACGTCTTGTTTAACAATGCCTGGAACAGCAAATATTAATGTAAGCTTAACTAATCTACAAAAACATCCTCTGAAACCTGACACTTGAGGCCTCGCCTCAAAAGACAAAAGAAATGTGCAATTCAAATGCTCGTCATTTACAAATCAAAACTCTGAAAAACCGGTCTGTTTTTTTTCCCCCTGTGCAGCCTATGAGACTACACCCTCCCGCCCCCACCTTGCCCTGTTCACCTGCCTCTTCCTGCTAATGTCATTCCTGGGCGTTGCCATGTACTGCACAGACCGTCGACGTCCACAGAGAGTGTGCGAGGAGCTCGAGGCAGCTTTGGCAGTCTACCTGCTGCACATGAAACAGCTCCTGTGGGGCTGCTGGATATGGTTGACAATGCAGTGACTGTTATCAACCACAGGTGGAGACATGGAGCCTCCTTTAATTTATTATTAATTTTTTGGGTTTTTTTGTTTTTTTTTTTAGATCCCTCTTTTTCCTATCTTTGAAGGTGCCCGGGCCTACAAACACCTCAGCCATTTGGCAAGGCTCTACACACTGTCTGTGGTTTTATTCCACTCACACCATGAAAAAGGGAAAATGTGTAATCCCAGAAATATGTAGCTTCCATGTCTGTATGTATATATGTACTAAGGTGGTGGGCATGCCACTCCATATTTAAGTTGTAACGGCATTTTGCACATCTGCACTGTTGACGCTGACATGTAACACTCACATAATCTCCACAACAGTTCATTTTTTTCTTCTATTCACTCACAGTCTGCTGTCTGTGAGTGAATGTTTCCGTGGAATGCAAATTTATTTTGTTACGGTACATGATTTGTGTATACCAGATATTACACAGAAATGAATGTGTATATATGGCTCAATATACTAAGGACTATCACAGTATTTAGCCTTGTAATTGCACATAAATGAATGTAGAGAGGTCTGGGAAACAACTTTGATTGGCACTTCTGATTGGCACACTGAGAGGAGGCAGACAGAAGCATGAATGTGTAAACTGTTTAATGATGGTCTGAAAAAAGAAAACACGGGGCCGCATCACTTCACGGAATGACTCGGACATGAAAAACACCTTGTTCTTTTCCAACTGTCTGGTCGCCTGTCAGCTGATTGCTAGTTTCACGGAGGATCATAATCTGCAGCACAATATTACCTATCATGAAAGAGAATATACTCAATCCAAACGAATGCTTGTGCTTTTGACAGTGTTCCTCTTTATAACCGCCTGAATCCCACAAGAATACTTTATGCTAAATGTTATTTATTCTTCTATATTGTATATCTGCTTCTACGCAACTATCGGACTTCCAGTTATATGGATTTTTTTTAAAACTTTTTGTTATCTGTAGCATTTATATTCAAATGAAACATTCAGGTTTTAATTCTGATGTCAAGTGTATGGAAGTGCGTGGGTTGAACGGATATTTGCAATACATAACAAAAAAAAAAAAAAAAAAGGTAATTGCTATTTTCGAGGCCAAAAACAGAAATTTAACAGAGCCAGACATTATTGTATGAGTCCCTTTATCAAACAAGGCAAGTCAAATTCAAACAGCCAAATCACCACATAAATGGATTATAGGAATCAAAGGGCACAGTGATGCACATCCCACATACCTCTCATTATGAGCAATAACACACATCACATATATTCCATTAAAACACTTTATACAACAGGTTTCAGGGAACTCAAAATAAAACGAGTTTGTTTGTCTTTTATTTTGGAGATCTCACGTTTGACTGTAGACTGCAGATGTAGCGGAGAAAAGGAATACTCTCGAATCTGTACTGTCAAACGAAATCGTCATTAGCAATAAAACAATACCCAGTGAGCTTATGTCCTGTATATGCACATTTAGCTTAAAGCTGCATTTCACTGCTGTTCAAACATCTATGGTCACTTTGAAAGAAGTGCCTTTATGGAGGGTTTTCTTAGTTCCTACGGTTTTTTGCTTTTTTTTATTTCAGTTGTTTTTGAAATAAAAACTGTCATTGCCTATTAAAGTGAAGCAGCCGACTTTCCTTTCTTCCCGTAACCTCTGTCAATAAGTGAGCGTGGGATTTAACAGGGAGAGGGAAAGGTGCATGCAGGTATACTTGTGTGTCTAGTCACAGTAATATAGAGTATATTGGTTTGTAGCCTATAAAGTGTGCAGAAGAAGCCTGAGTTGCTAAATGGCACAAGATAGGATCTGTTTTCTTATCTCACACAGATTGCTAAAAGCCTTTTAGACTGCCTGCCAAATGCACGAATGTGTAGAGCTGCAATTTGTCTTTTTTTTTCTTCTTTTTTTTGTTATAAAACGCCTTTTTGTAGCTGCTGATAAATGTGTAAAGATGCTGCAAACGCACACACCGTTTATGCTGGAGCATGCAGTTCTCACTTTGCAGAGATGCACTGTGGATACTGGCAGGAAAAAAAGAAGCCTAAATTAGGAACACATTTATTGGTGAAGAAAAAAAAAACTCCTTTATGTCTAAAAAGCACCCGAGGAAATTTTACATGCTTTAGATCCATGCAGAAATTTCACAAGGACAAGATCCACTGGCCAAACTGGCCAAACCATTAATACCGTTTTTTACTAATCAACAACGTATATTTGATAAAAGATGTATTTTTTTGTTTAAAAGAAAAACGTTTTAATACTATCAAATCTGGGTTGGGGTTGAATAAGGGATGGATTATCTCAATATAGCACAGGAAAGGTTAACAACCATCTGTAGCTTTTATTTTCAGTTACTTCTGGAAAACAGCTAAAACTGTCGATTTGATTCAATTCATCTTCGTGGGAGCAAAAGCCAACTGATTCTGATTGTCTACACAGGCGAATACTGGTGTTGGTCACGGCAGGCAAGAGGACTACGTGGTTCTATATGGTTAACTGTGAATGAACGTGTATGTTTGTGCGTCTTGCTGATTTCTAAATCAGGCCGGTCTTGAGGTCAGAGCCGCGGCGTGAAGAGCGGCCGAGCAGCAATTCCTTCTCGTGGATCAAGGTGTCGAGCAGGTCCTCTTGTCTGTAGTTGTGGTAGACCTTCAGAAAAGCCATCACAGTGATCCCGAGCCAGGTGAGCCAGGCGGCCCACAGCCCAAACTGAAAGAGTAAAAGCAGTCATTGCATTTACTCCGACTGTTAAATTCGTTATACTGTCTGTACGTCAATTTTAAAAGATTTTTACCTGAGCTATAGCAAACTGGTCATAGAAAGCAGAGTTGTCCAGACCCAGTTCTAGATCAGTATCCTGCATGTCTTCACAGCTAAACAGAAAGTGGCATTTA